CATGGCTATCAAGAATTGATGAGAAACTAAAGTTTTGCAATTTCTGAGTTTTATTGTTGAAATCCAGAACTCCAGCAGTTTTCCTGCTTCAAAAACACAATTAAAATATGTTTCTGTGGATCAAAGATTTAATGTAGTATTCCAGTTTTGTCAGCTTTTCTAAATGCTCTTGTCTACCATTTGCTCTATTAATGTCCCCATTCTGCTCCTATTTGCAGGTTTATAAAGAGGTTATGAGGGGTATCTGTACTTTATAGGCTATTGATATCTGTGTTTTGCTTTTAAGCTTCGTTGAAGGATGGAGGGAAAGTGAGTTTTTTCAGATCCTTGTATAGATGGGTTTTGTATCTTCCTGTTCTCTTCTCCCAGTCTCTGTGGATGAGTATGTGTACTTGTCTCTCTGTATTCGATGGAGGTAGGAAGAGACTGGAATAAAGCTTCTTGCAAACTGTGCCTCCCTGGGCGGTGGAAGTTGTAATCACTGCTATAGTTTGGAGGATAGAAAGTAGGGGTTTTTTTTAATTCATTTGAGGATAAAGTAAGGCTAAAGTGGGTAAAACCAACGTGTAGTTTAATGTGTCAATTTTTTTGCAGGTGAGGGAGGAAGGGGCAGTTGAAGAATGGATTTACTTATTTATTTATAGTGCTGTTTTAAATGTGTACCTTTATGTAGGAGAGGTGAGCAAACAGATGGCCTAGCTTCTGTCATAATTTTTCTCTTTAACTTTAATGTATATGTGCTTTTCTAAAACTAGAGTGAAAAAGATCTGAGCTCTCTTTTTAGTTGTGATAGCTGGGGAGTTCTTTGTCAGAAATCATGCCTGTGTTTGCAGCCCTTAAGACAAGCTTTAGGACACTGCGGACAGTGTTGTGACAGAGGCAGCTCTGAGTGTTCGGCCCTGTGCACATGCAAGACAAAACATCACAGCTGGACAATAGTAGTAGTGGTTTGGGCTCTAGTATTTGTTCGTCTGTGATATAGGCCGGGAGAGGTGGTTGGCTGTTAGTATGGTCTGAATGCCTTCTTCCCTCTTGACTGAGGGATGGGTGACTGACTGTTGGGCCGCTGGGTGGATCAGTATAAATTAAGAAATATTTTCCTAATAATTTGAATTTTGTTTAGAAAGTATTAGTATAAGTGTATGTAACACTTTATTTGAATTTCAAGGTATAACACCAATGATTTCCAATGCAACTGGACGGTTTGTAGCTGATGGCACAGGACAGTGCACTGATACAGCACCTGTGGCAATACTTAAATCAACCCAAACACAAATTCATACTCACTGGATAAACAGGAATTGTAAGGGTGATGCACTTATAGCTTTTCCTAATGACCGTGCAGCCAGCATTAGGCCTAGTGAATGGAATAAAAAGTACAGGTAAAAATTACTTGGATATAATATTTAAAACCACACATTTGTATATACTGTATAGTAGAACAAGATTGGTTACTCACACGACAGTTTGATTTGGTTTTTTTTTCAGGCTGAAAGTTCATTAAAATTCATTGCATTCTACTTAACCTTGAGCCTCTTGCACATAAATTTCTTGGGTTGCTTTTCTTATGTGAAACTACAAATGTAGCTATTACAGTTTTAATATTTTGTTTTTATGGTTGCCTTTACAAGGACAAATATTAATAATCAGCTATGATAAAAAGAATGTAGCAAAAATCGATGTGTTTCTTTCTAACAAGACCCAGAATAATTTTACACACGTAGTGAAACTACAATTCTCTTTAAATATTTAGGACTATTTTCACGAAGACTGAGAGATATAATTATATAGATCCAGAGTTTTCTTATACTGACTGTGAACGACTGTTAAAAGAAGCACATAAGGAATACTATGCAGACTTCATTTCTAGTTTAAGACAGCGTCGTTTACAGAAAGATGCTGCTAGGTAAGACTTTGTTTAAAGGATAAATAAATAGTTTAGGCTCATATGAAAAATATGTGTATATGCGTGCAAAATTAACTTAGTGACACCAGTCATATACCTAAATTTGTCCCATGCTGAAATGCTTATGGTCTTGGGACCTTCATTTATAATGCATTCAAAACCCTTTATGTTCAAATGTTCATTTAGACACTTAGAGATCACTTCCTGGGTAAAATGTAGGGACAGAGGCTTAAAATCAAGTTGTAAGAAGAGTTGGTTACGGTTAATAAGAAAAACATAACATTTATTGTGTTGGATTCTCTTCTCTTTTCTTTTTATATAATAAATTGTACGTATTTCCAACTAGTATGTCTAGCTCACCCAAAGTGATGAATTCAGTACATAAATGATGATATAATTTGAGGAATGAAGCAGATAAGATTAAAGGATTGTATTGGCTCTAGCCTTACCTTATAGTAAATTCTGACTTCATGAATTTGTGTATTTGGTTAGTATGCTGTGGAGCAAAATCATGGAAAAGCAGAACTGACAGCACTGCTACTTTTAAAAGTTTTACTTTAAAAAAAAAAAAAAGCCTGTAAAGCCTCTAAAGCAAATAATACCTTAAAAGTATTAAGTTTGCAAGACCCATTATTTAAAAATTAATAAGGCCAGTGGATTATTCTTGTAATCTCAATTTACCTTGCTCTGTGTGTATACATCATGATTCAGACAAGGCCTGCAGAGCTGATTTATTTTATTTTTATGCATGCATATGATGTATGGCTTCCTTGAAAGGAACTGGTGGTGTGTAGTGGCTGAACTGTTGTTTAAATGACCATAACGCATATATTGAAGGTATATTGCATGAGGAGTAAGAACAGAAGGGAAAATTTCAGAGTTATCAGATGAATTTTACTGTTACTATCAAACATAGTAATAATTTTTCTGAATACTTGATATGAAACATCTGTAAGATCCCTGGAAGTTTCAGATCTCTTGGTTGCAGGTGAAATTGATTGATTGGAGTTGACTTTTGACCAAGAAAAGTTAATTGCTCTGAAAATTAAGCTATAAGTGGTCCAGTTCAGACATACACAATTAAAGGATCCTTTGTAATCTTGGCATTTGCTAACTTTTAAGTGCTTGATTTTACAACTTAATTGTTCTTTAAGAGGTATTTTAGACATGATATAATATTTATATTTTGGTAGCCATAATGCTTGCAACCTGTTTAGCTTAGCAATTGCCACAAATGTGCAATAGATGTTAATCCTTGCCTAAACAATACAATAGAAGAATTTTCAAGGCATTTTCTGTACTTGAGGTTTTTTTAATAATGAAATATTCCTACTTAAAGTATTATTTGTTATGTTTAAAAATCTCAAATATGTGTAGACCACGGAATGCTCAAACTTCTAGATTTCCATGTTCTTTTTCTTTTCCCTCCTCTATAGGCAGTTTTATATTTATAATAATTCTGTGAGCATTGGCCTTAAACCAGCTGAAGGGCTTAAGTCACCAAAGATCTCAATCACAGATATTCACAAGGAGAAGCTACAGTTCAAAATGCTTCCTTTAGATGAGAATTGCCTATTAACTAGTCGAAAATTGGCAGCAATTCGTTCTAAATCTTCAATCAAAGAAGTAAGTTAAATGCTTGAGTAGTAATGCAAGCATAATGTGTTTACCATATGAAAAAGCATAAGAATTTTTATCCTGCTCTGAGAAGATGTCTTGTGCTTATCACAGATTTGGAGTGGGCTTAGTGCTATGCCATCTTCTACCCAAGAGAAGGAAGATTGTACTCTAACTTTGACATCCAAGCAGCTTCATCAAATAGTCATTGGTAAGATTTTTAATTTGTTGTTATAAAAGTTAATATAGTTGTTATAAAGGCACTTATTCATAGTAACACAATTTATGTTCATAATTGCTCACCTTAAATAGAAAATAGCTTAATTTGGTGGCAGCTTGATACCTACAGTAGTGTTTAACTAAAGCTTTGTACTCCTCAGAAAATACTGAGATATGACTAGGTATGAACAGGTAAAAGGAGAGCTTCCTTTAAAGACTGCTCAGACTACAGCCTATTATAGAGAAATCAATACAGCATAGTATGAGGGTTGCTCATACCATTATGCCTTGTTATTGGATAGTATCTGGACGAGCATTAATATCAGCAAGATTCATGGGAGTGTTCAGAATGTTTTTGGGAATTAACAGTGAACAGTGATACCCCAAAAAAGTAAAACTTCTTCAGGATCCTCCTTCAAAATAATTTCAGTGGAATGCTCTGTGATGGGGAGTAACACCTTCTAAAGTCTGTGAGGGACTCATCTATTAACAAGACTTGGTACTAAAACTGGTCTATTTTAAGCTCAATTTTTCTTCAGTAAAATTATTTAGCAGCAAAGTGAAAATTTTCAGTACTTTCTGGGCTTTTTTTATTTTCAATGAAGCCAGAACTTGAATAGTGTAGCTGTGTATACTGATAAGGGGAAAGGTAGAATAAGATAAACATATTAATACAAAAACTACTTAGAGTTTTGTAAGATGTTTGATTAGTGCCATGAGCACTAAAGTTTGCAGACCAGCATAAAAACTGATGATAACAGGAAATAAAGTAGTGAGATAATTCTGTCACCATCAAATTACATGCATTATTAAACCAAATAGTCACACATCAGGGAGCAAATAAGCAGGTTAAGTATGTAGACTCTCAGTGAATTGCTGGTTGTCTAGCCATTTAAATATCTGATTAATAAAAAGAAGTATTTATGATTATTAATAATGCCTGTAGTAATTAGCACATTGCTTTTCCTATTTTAATAGCTGGCTAACACAGAATTAAGAAATAAATGTTGGTGCTGGCTTTTGAGTTGTACTACTGAAAACATTCACAGTACATGCATGGTATTTACTTCCAAATTTTTGTGTGAATTTATTCTGCTACAGGATTGTTCTAGCTGACTAATTCTGTAATTTGAGGGACTAAAATGTTTTGCTCATAATGTTTTAGTAGTTATGCGTCCATACTTTTACTATTTAATGTTGAAGATCTTATTTCTTATATATTCCAGGTCCTTCTACTATGGATTTTGGTGATGTTTGTGTGTATTCTACAACAGCAAGAAAACTGCACATCATCAATAACTTGTTAGTTCATATATGGATACAAATTGAGATTGAAATTGATGAATTACAACAGACGAGCCCATTGTCTCAGGTGGTGCCTCCTCTTACAAAGACTCATATTCCAATTGTATTCGAGACAAACACTCTTGGGATGTTTAAAAGGTAAGGCTTCTTATATTTGTCTTGATTTACGTATTTTCTTCGCAGTAGTAGAATAAAAAAATTCATGTGGCTGGTTTAAACTCAGTGTAATTATGATAACTGTTAATGGTGTACACTCATTTGTGGTGATATTGCAATAATTAATGCAGTTTTATGTTGCAAAATTTTGCTAGTATAGTAATGTTTCTTAAGGTTTAAAAAAACCCAACAAACTGTCCTGTCAAAAGCCCATATAGCCACAGGTATATCAGGGAAAAAAGTTTGCTATTACAATGTATTTGTTAGGAGAAATTTTATGGAAAATACTGTGCTCTTTCTGGCATAATGTTGCATCACTGCATCTATGCTCAGATCTTTTGATGCACCTCATGGATAAATGTATAGGCAAACTGTTTTCTAGCCTTCCTTCTCCTCCATGGAGATGGAACTACTTTACTGATGCTGTTAAAATGACTGTAGGAGGTTGATCATCCGTTGGGATGATCTTCACTTTTGACATGATGTAAGTTGTATGCAAAACAATTACAAATTGCTTTTTCTTGTCAGTCTTAACTGTGTGTTCACACTCAGTTGTTTTGTTAAGTATTTTCTTGCTAATTCTTATATTTCACATAAATTTTACTCTGACTACAACATAATAAATACATAAAAATACTAAGAAATATATATTTTTATGCTACAGATCTTTCACTTACACAATAAACAACCAACACCTTGGGCATGTGCTGGTAGTTGCAAAAGCAGTGTCTGTAGAACTTGAGCTGTCTGCAAAAGAACTGATTTTAAATCCTATTCCCGGCTACCTAGCGGAGGCAGAATTTAGAACAACTGTCAGAGTATACAATCCCAGAAACCATCCTGCTGAGTTTACTTGGAAACCTATAATTACAGATAGAGGAACTGCATTTTCTATACAGCCAGCCAAAGGTATACTATGCAAATACAGTGTGTGTGCATGTATCTTAAATGTCAATAATGTTAAGTAAGACAAACATTCAGCTGATGCTATAAACTGTATTTTTTTAGATTTGGGTCAATATCAGTGTATCCCAAAAGTAGTATCAGATCAGAGTGTTAATACCATAGCAGCACTCCCTGTAAAAGCCCTACCCTGAGCGCCTACTCAGTCCAGTTCATTGTTTCTATGTCCAGGCAGCAGCGCTTACGTAACCATTTTTGTCAGCACAGACTGCTGATATTTCAAAAGTGAGGCAGCTTATTAATGGCAATTAGCAATATCATGCAGCTCATCAGGATGTGAAATTTTCCAAAAGCCAACTGTATGAATGAAGCTGCTAAGAAGTTGATGTGGACAGTCTGAGTGACACAAATGGAATTCAATCTGGGATTAGTTTCCACTTGCATTATGGATCAGTATTTGTTAAAAGTCTGAGAGACATTAGCTTTTACCTTCTTTCATTTGAAAGATAGTGTTCTACAGGAGTATGTTGGAGCTCCATTATTAAAGAACTAACTGCTAACTGAATTGGCATTACACAGTCCAAACAAGATTTGGCTGGATCAGGAGCTTGGTGTGCTCTGATTCTTGGTAAAAGATACTTCTGCTGATAAAAGTTCAGACTTCAATTGCAAGCAAGAAAATGTATGTGGTCTTTCCCAAAGTTGTTATTCTAGAAGAAGGATAGTCTGTTCTTTTATTTTTTTTAAATGTTGACTATGTCAGTAATTCATGGCTAAAAAATACCAGTGAATTTTTATTGCAGGATGCTAATAAACAGATTTTGCAATTGTCGTGAGAATTCAGAAACTAATTTTACTTAATTCAGCATACTGTTCAACACCTTTGAAATGTAGGCTTAGTCTTCAGTAATAGAAGGTCATTTCACTTTAATGTGCTTATGTTATTTCTAATTATACAATGTAATTTGATAATTGTACATGTGTATGCTATAACGTGTAAATTACGCACATTTATTTAGGCTTTGTGGAGGCCTATAGAGATCTGGAGTGTGAAGTTGTTTGGCATCCAAGGTTCAACTCTCCGGAATCAGGAGAATTCAACTTGTGTGTGCGTAAAGGAAACAAAATTAGGTTGAAATGTTTTGCAAAGGTAACAATTCATACAGCAGATTTAGAGAAGCAAAATGTGTCTTCTTTTTAAACAAGTAATTTCTTAAATGTATTTCTATTATCATGTATTAAAAAAATTATTTT